GCAGCCAAGTTCTCTGGAAAACATATCAGCACCCTCACTTTGAGCCTTGCTTTATGTTCCTCCTTGTTTTTATTTTGACAAGGATATAATTCATTGTTATCAGTGCTATTATCAAATGTAGAAGTGCTATTATCAAATGTAGTTACTAAAACACAGAGCAAACTGGCTATTTCTCCTCAAAGAAAGCACTGTTAGAACACAGGATGAGAGAACTGTAGTTTGGATTTCAAAATCTGTTTTAGGCCTCCACTTTCTCTGACACCCAAGTTCTCCTCACTCCTCTTCAGAGTCTCATGTCTACTTCTCATGAAGTAGAAAGTACAAATATACTAGTAGTGAAGTAAATAAAACACTTTTGAAGAGATGTAGTTGAAGTTTTCTACGGTTCTGCCCAGCCCCATGGACCCCACAGCCACTTATAAAATAATCACTCAGAAGCTTATATTAATTAAAACTGCTCAGCCATTAGCTCAGGTCTACCACTGAAGAGCTTAAATTTAAACTCAGCCTATTTCTGTTAATCTATATGTTGCCACGTGTTCTATGGCTTTACCTGTGTGCCATTACATGCTTCTCCCTGGATGGGCTGCTTACTCAGCCTTCCTCTTCCTAGAATTCTCCTTGTCTGCTTAACCCACCTATACTTCCTGCCTAGCTACTGACTAATCAGCATTTTATTAAACCAGTGTACTAAAGCATTTTCCACAGCAAAGAGACTTTGGATACCTATGCCACTTCATGCAGAAAAAGGACAAAAAGGCATATACTGGGTTCGACATGTCTATTTTTGATCCACAGATCCTGGGACCTAGATGGGACAGAAAGCTGATTTCTGTGCTCTGTCTGGGCTGGATGATGGTCCTGATTCTGCTTTGAACTGAGATTTATTGATTTATTCCCAATGAGAAATCAGAGACAGTTACGGGGCACCCCTTAAGGTCACTGACAGACCTTGCAGAAATCCCCACATAACATTCAAATCTAGAGTGGTTCTTGGGTGCCTGTGATGTCATTTCAAGTTTAGGAGCAGGTATGCAAAGATGATTTATCAGCTTCAGAAGATAATTCAAATCATCATAATATTAATTGCATTCTTCTACATTAGCTAAATATGTGATATTTAATATATGGGAAGAGCTAGTGAGAAGGGACATGGATGGTGCTAAAGACAGAAAAGGGAAAAGGGGAAGTAATGTAATTATATTTCAATATTAAAAGTATATTTAAAAATAAAAGAAAAAATATGAGTATTTTTTTCAAGTATTGTCACTATACTAGGAAATAAATTTTATTAAGATATTTTTGCATATTGAGCCAAAACACTGCTTAAGACACAAAGACATTATTATGATTGATGCTCTCAGGTAGTTGTGTGATAGATGAAAATTTATATTATCAATGCATGTTCATTTATTTGCAACTATAGATCAAAAATTTAGTTTAACACAACAAGACTGTGTGGGGTGGGGTGTTAAGTATGCTTTATAAAATGTGGTGTGTTTTCCTATTAGTAGACGAGGGGTGAATGATATCAACTTGCTGTCTATTTATACTCAGCCTCTCCATGAGGAATGATCTTTTGGCGTCTACTCAAATATAAAGTCTGAGTTCAGAGTGCACCTCAGGCCATCAGAAATCTCCATTCTGCTACATAGGATTCAGCTGGCTTTTATCTCTTCATTGTTCTTCATCAAGTTTCCACCATACCATGATAACCACTAATCGATCAATGGATGCGATTTTCTCCTCCTTGGATGGATCATTTTCAATTATTCTTGTTAAGAATCCAATAGAAAAAATATTTATATATTATATATGCTTGGTTAACCAAAGCACATAAATATTTCTAATAGAAATAACTAATTTGGGTTTTCTAAATTCTCTGTTCAAAAGCAAAAAAAATATTTAAACGGTGATGGCTTGAGACAATATAAATTTCCCTAGTGTAGAACACACACCAATAGTTATAATTTCCAAGAATTTTCTTATTTGTACATTTTGTTCATGTGATAGTTGGCTATTTTCTTCTTTTGCAAGATGAAAAATCTAACAAGATTTCACTTGTGGCATTAGGTCTTCTAGAGGAAGAAAGTTGCTCGCTGTGCAATATGACAATATCTTGTTCACAAGTGTCGCATTCGGTGTTGTAAAGTGATACTTATGTCATTTCTTTCTTTTGTTGCTTATATTCCACTGCATTTAAATCAGCCCAGCAAACCATGGTTCCTTGTCTTTCTTGATTACCCTGTTTTGTTCATTCCATTGTCACTAGCCTTTGTGAATGACTTCCGTTTTTTGTATGTTTTGTTGTGCAGCTTGAACTTAGGGTTGACACTGCGCGTGTGTGTGTGTGTGTGTGTGTGTGTGTGTGCACATACACATGTGTAAGTGCGTGTATGTGCATATGCAAGAATCTTTTGTTTTAAAATATAAGCTGGCCATTTGCATTTATTGATATTATTGATATGTTATTCAAAAACTGTTAGCAAGATAATATTCTGTTACTTAAAAATATTAAATATATTTCCTATGTAATTGTTTTTAGGATTTTTAATTTGCCTAATTGGTACTTAGAAACCTTGGTATTTTGTTTTAGTAGTTAGTATTTTCTAATGTTTTTAGTTATGATATTAGTGCCATTTTATTCTCTTTATTTCTATACCTATCATGTTTCCTTTAATTTGTGTTCTTTAACTCATACTTGTTCTGTATAGAGTGTAGATGTGTATAAAAAGAAAGGTGACCTTTGCTTACAGTTCAGGAGATACAGTTCATCATGGCAGGAAGGCATGATAATGAAGCGGTTCAGTACAAATCTGTAGAAGTCTATGGCAAACTCTGTTGTATCTTGTCTATTCAGGAAGCAGAGCTCAGTCAGGATCAGAACATGGTCCTACTCATCTTTAAATGGCATTTTGTTCTCCCACCAGTATATCCCATCAAGCTATGCTTACAGCATTCTAAGGCTCTTCTAAAACACTTCTCCAAACTCTTCCACACAGCCCAGTTTTAACTGATTATATTTTTTGCATTTTTATAACATACAACTTTAACATACAACTCTTATATTCCTTACATCTCTTTAAAAATAAAACCTATAATTCAATATCAAAATGATCCAAGTGATCAACAGTAGTCTGTTTCTTGATAAACTTTCCAACTAATCCCTGGGTGCTGTGTTTGAATAGGAATAGATTCTTTAAGAGATTTTTTTATTCAAATTGAAAGATAAAGAAATATTTAACAAGCCTGTCAGTCAAACAGTCCATTTATATAATAAGAAAGACAGATTGGATTTGATTAGCAATAAATGAAGCAAGACAATAATAAAGGAGTTCTTTTCAAGATAATAGAAGAAATTTTAAAGAGCTCTTTACCAGGAAGATGCTTGTGACCACAGTAAGAAATAAGCGCTACATTTCTAATTTCCTTAAACAACCAAAACACTAGACTAGCACCTATGAAGCAGTGTCTTCAGACATTGGTATCAAGCAGAATTGAGTGATGAACTTTGATTAAAAAAAGAAACAAATATAGTGGTGATGTTAGCCTCCCACTAATAGTTTCTAAGCTATGGCCCAAGGAGACACTACCCAAGTGTGTATTTCTTGAGCTGACTAGGTGGAGAAGAATTTACAAGCAGATGCAAGAGAAAGGAAAGACCTAATGAGAGAGTAACTTCCAAGACAGACACACAGAAAGACAGCCTCAGGGGTCTGCAATGAGATTTCTTTTATTGACCTGGTAATTTAACAGTTCTTATGTATGAAGGAACTAAGCGGGGTGGCTATTGATCACAATAAAGTAACAGTTTAAGTTAGCAACAATATACATTTTCTCAAACATTAAAAGTATATCTCAAACTTTGGCTACCTTTTAAGACATTAGCCCTACCTGTATTTTAATGGCTGGCATCACTTGAACCCTGACTTTCAATTACTCTCAATTCTTTTAAGAATGGCAATAGTCACCACTGTAACTCTAGAACAACTAGAAAAACATGGATTATGTTTGCTTACTGCCTCCCATGAACCTTTACCAATATATTCAAGCCATAATTCCTTGTTTTAATAGTGAGGGTAGGAAATCAGTTCTTGTTGTATGTGGCAAGGCTACATCCAGAACCATAACTTAGACTTTTAGTGTTTCCATAGTCATCAGACTGTTCTAAAATCTTTCTTTCCAAGTTCCTGGATCACATTCCCTTCCAAACAATGCTTTCATTTCAAAACTGTTTCAGAGTTGGACTTCCACCCTAACTCACCCAATCTTATGGTATTTGCTTGATTTTAAGACTTTCATGTAGACACTCTTAGGCTTTTTATTGATACAGTGCAGTGCAATACAATATAACACAACCAAAACCAAGCACTACTCTTCAACTCCCATCATCTTATATTATGAATTAAAGAGGAACTCCACTATAACATTGGTTTTAATTACATGGGTCATACTCAATAATTAAGAAATTGGAAGTGCTTAGACATGTCAAGTTAGAAGCTGGAAAATATCCTGAGGAAACAATGCCCATTCTAACAAACCATTTATATTTCATTAGGTATTCTAAAAGTGAGATGTAAAGAATTTAAACTTGGGCAAATTTTACATTAGCTTTGAGTTATAGATTTATCGCTACCCTGGCTTCATGTTGCTGTCTTCTTCCATCTCTCATATTTTTGTTATTTTAATGAGATTTTGTAATTCCAAGTACTGAAATTGTATTAGATTGGAAAAAGAACATTGTATTAAAATATAGGTTATATTTTACTACTTTAAAGGGAGTAAATTGTTAAAAAAAGTTTTGTTTCCTTTCTTCTATATTAATCCACTTGCTGTATTTATAATCAACTCTGAGAGGGTAGCTATATATGATGCATTGATAAATGCTAATATTATGTATGAACTTTGAAATGAAATTTTAGCTCAAATATTTGAATGATGAGATTATACTATTCACACTGCAAATTAATTGCTAGTAATTCTTTACCTCTTTTCCACAGGAGAAGATGTTTAAATTTTATCAAATGAAATATATTTTTCAAATGCTGGATAAAATGAGATGCTTGCGAAAGCGTTCTACAGTGTCTTTCTTGGGAGTTCTTGTTGTTTTTCTTCTATTCATGAACTTGTACATTGAAGATAGCTATGTTTTGGTAAGTTTTGGAGATGTTATTTTTAGTTCAAAACACATTCTCAGTAAACTGAGTGTCAGTCTACTTGTACCCCAACCTTGATATAACAGACAGTATTCATATGAGTAGAATTATTTATACATATATCCTAAATGTATACTTTTAGCCATATAGTGTCAACACTGAGCCTGTTTTACTCTGGTTTATTTTTTTTAATTAAATACTATATGGTGACTGATACACACATATACATATATAGTCATATATTACATTATAAACATTTTAATATAATATTATATATCATATAATACAGGTAGTATATACTAATTTCATATATATTAAAATATTAAAATCATTGGACTTTAATGTGAAACATATAGACTAAACAAATTTTTTTTGATAACATAATTTCTACCCTCCCTATTTTACAACTTACTGTTGAAATTTTCTGGAAAATAATACCCTTTATTTTGCCACTTATCAATATTAGTATTAAAATTTTCTTTTCTTATTTTTCTTATTATTTAAAAAAAATTTACACATAAATGTATTTTGATCATATTCTTCCCCTTCCCTGAGTCCTTCAAAATCCTTTCCTTCTTCTTAGATAGCCAAATTAAAGTTCTTTAAAAAACAAACAAATTTTCTATAATATTATTGACAGTCTCAAAATAGTATTTATTAACTAGGTTGTATTTACATAATTATCTTGTCCCAATGTGTAATATATTTTTGTATTTGGAACAACAGATATATTTACAACATAAGGGTTCTTTAAATTAAAATATACTAGATGTACAAGTCAGTAAGAAAAATCTGAAGTTGGTGTCCTGGCTTGAGAAGTTTAGTGAAGTCCTCTAAGCATTGACAAAACTACATCATTTTAATGTATGAATTTATAATAGATTTTTCTACTAAAGAGTATTGTTTGACTAAAATTTTTCCATTAATATAAAACGTATCACTAGTCAAATTTGAAAAGCAGTATAAGTGGAGGGGAAAGGTTGTTACTTAGGATTAAATTAGATTACTTTAAAATAATTATATAAGTAAATTATACAGAATTTTAAATACATCTTTAATGTTAATTCATTAATGGTATTTTAATTTGTTGATCTGTTTAGTAGGTTTGTAGGGAAAACTGTATTTCATGATGAACTTCAGCCCATAAGTCTTTATATGGAGTTACCATATTCTTTCAATCAATAATGTTAAATTTCATAAAAACCATATTTCAAGAAGGCTGAAAACATGACTCAGTGTTTAAGAGTTGTTAATGATAATTCAGAGGACTCAGAATTATATTTTCAGCACCCACACTGTGGCTCACAAACCATTGAAACTCCGGTTCCTGGAAATTTAATGCCTTCTTCTATACCCCAATGCTATTTGCATACTTGCACTGCACATCAATTTATGTAGGCACACACATATACAATAAAAATAAATAAATAATCATTTAAAATTATTTACTTTACTTTTAGATCATATAATTACAATATTTCCCCTTCCATTCCCCCCAGAACTCCCCCAAAAAACATCTGTTGATGTAATGACACAAAATTCCACCACCAAAGCTTTCTTTTAAATTCTGATCCTGTCCTGTTGTTAATTGCTGTTATGAACACATGTGCTTATGCACACACACACACACACACACACACACACACACACACACACACAGACACGCACACACGCACACACACACACGTGCACACCCTATTTGGTAATGGACAACCAATTAGTGTTCTTTTCTTTTCTTTTTCTCCTAAAGAAGACTTTTTCTCCTGTTCTCTGCATTATTTAGTTGTCTGTAGTTCTTTGGGTAGAACTGAGACCTAGTGGGCTTTTCCCCATCCACACTAGCATATCTATTGTTATTGTCCTTGTTCAGCACAAATTTTGACAATCATGTTGGTGAGACTTTATCAGTGTAGCTTATGATATTCCTAGAAGACAGAATTTTATGGCAAACTCCATTTTCCCCTCTGGATCTTTTTTAAATTTTATTTTATAATTTAATATAATTTTACATATCAGTCACGGATTCCCCCTCCCCCCCCCTCACCTTTCCCCCACCCCACCCCCCATTCCCATCTCCTCCAGGGCAAAGAGTCCTCTGAGGATTGAGTTCAACTTGGTAGATTCAGTCCAGGCAGGTCCAGTCCCCTCCTCTCAGGCTGAGCCAAGTGTCCCTGTATAAGTCCCAGGTTCCAAACAGCCAGCACATGCACTGAGGATCAAGAACACAGAGGGAGAACAAGGAATAAGAGACCATGGTAAATGGAGACCACATGAGAATAGGAAGAAGCAGGGTGCTAGAGAGGTCCCCAGAAATCCACAAGGATACCTCCACAGTAGACTACTGCCAAAGGTCGAGAGACAGCCCGAACTGACCTACTCTGGTGATAGGATCCCCTCTGGATTGTATAGTGTTTCCACCCCCTCTTCCACAACAGTTCCCTAAGTATAGGAACTGTGTCCTTACCCAGCTATGATGCCTATGAACCAGTGCTATGACAGGCATGGGGCAGAACCCCAAACATATGACATGCATAGCTTTGTGGCAACCAACAGCTCTATAATTGAACATAAGACCCGCTTGATACCAGGGAAATCATACCTAGTACTGAAAACCTAGCCTCCTGTCCAGGACCAGTGAATTCATGGATCTTGGAAGAGAACCACCACTGTAGAAAACCAGCATGATCCCCAACTACATTCTAAGTATTTGTCTTTATACCCAGAGATAAGTATGCTTCTTACCCCTCATCAAGAAAACTTCTCTTTGCAGCAGACAGAGATCATTACAGAAAATCACAACCAATCAAAATGCAGAGTTGTGGAACACAATTTATTCAAATTCTACACAAATTAATCTTATTTTTAATATGCACTTCTTAAATGTGAATATTTATGGAAAACTGTCTCTGGTAATAAAATACAGTATAGTTTCTGCTTATCACTTTTCCTCTTTCCTCTTTCTCTTTATTTTTCATAAGCTTATCTCTCTTGGGTTTTATCTTGCCTCCATAATGTCATAGTGCATACAATTTTCTAAGCATAAACTGCAATGTCTTTCTCTTGTATTGCTGAAACAATACTTGTAATTCTGAGAAATCAGATGAACAGAATTAGTGGTCTCTAGGGTTATTTAACACATTCAATTCTCTTTTTGATAGAAAATTTATTTGTGGTTTGAAACTATCGAAACTATAGGCATATTAATGTCTTGGTAGATTTGCTTTAGTTTTGGAAAGATAAGTGACTTTCAGTCGGAAGGGAAGCATAACTTAGTGGAAGAGACAAGTACTTTACAAGGCAAACTAAGTGGCAGAGACATTGCATGCCCAATCAACATAGCCTCTCAGCTGTGAGCATCTTCAAAGTAGCCACCAGGGTATATATTTAGACTGTAGGGAGTCCATTGAATTGTATTACCATCCAGAAAATGATTGTCATAAAGCTTTGCCTTATTACCGAGACACACACTATAGCATAGTTACTGCAGAAAAGAAGGTATCCGGGGAGCTTGGATGTTCAGTCAGTCGCCTCTGAAAGCAGCCAACCAGACAGGCTCAGGTGAAAGTTACATTTTTATTGATGCTAAAAGTATTAGGAAGCTTGTTCTTGAGAACTGAATTAATTACTTCCATATCAGTTCTGTTTCATTTTATATTCTGCAACGTCCTTCAACCAAAATGAATATATTACATTTTATCACAGAAAAGGTCTAGACTTTTACATGCTCAGGAAAGAACCTTTAAAAATAACACTCCGTATTTTATGGTTTCTTTAGCATGTAACCTCATGTAATAACAGAATATAAAAATGTATACAGTGTAGAGACAACTGTGGTTTTGTAGAAAAGTCTTCATATCTTCTATTGATATACACTATTACATTATTGTTGAATTAATCTATGTGATAATTTGTAGTTACTTTGTAGCAATCCTAAATTGTATGTTTAATACATTAATTCTATATGTATACCTTTTGATCTATAGAAATAGATAAAATTATTTATGCATGAGAGAGTTAGGGTAATCAGAATTCAGTGAATATTCAAATAATATAATTTAAAGAAATTTTATTTAATCTTGTATTGCAGATATTTCAGATGTATATTGCTTTTCAGAATGATAAATAGCCTATAAACCTTGTTAAAATGTCTTTGTTCAAATTATTAAAATGATATAAATCATAGAAATATGTAGCTGGAGAGCTTCTCTCCAGGTCCCAACAAGCCCACAAGGCCAACTTATAAAATAAACACACAAGACACTTAATATTATTCAAACTGTTTGGCCTAATGGCTCAGGCTTCTAGATAGCTGTTCTTATATCTTAAATTAACCTACTTCTATAAATCTATACCTTGCTACATGGCTCGTGGCTTACCGGTATCTTACATGTTGGTACTCATGGAGGCGGCTAGCAGTGTCTCCTGACTCAGCCTTCCTGTTCCCAGGATTCTCTTCCCTACTTGTCCCACCTATACTTCCTGCCTGGCTACTGGCCAATCAGCATTTTATTTATACAGAGCGATATCCACAGCAGAAATATGTTAACACAGACAGAATAAATTTCATAATAATACTTAAATATTTGAAAGATTTTAGGATTGAATTTCCTTCATTTAATTGTATAGCCCATAGTTAAGAATTCTCAGCTCTCCTGTTAAATACCAGTAATTCTTTTTTTATCCTATGAAAAAAAATCTGTGAAAAAAAAATTATGTGTTTCCCCTTTGAGTCAGTAACTAAGTATTCAGTGCTCTAATCAAGGTAAAACTTGTGTCTGAATCTTATCCAATCTTTTAGAGTAGATTTAATTAGATTTTATTGACCACAGATAAGTACTCAAGGCAAAATTCATTTAAAGAATTTACTTTTTCTACAGTCTTAGTGGCTTGCACTTGACACATTTAAGTTGCTACCACAAACACTAGATATATATCTATTTAACAACACAGAGTGAAGTGGACAACTTACCAAAAAGAAACATGGCTTCACAATCAGATTCTCTCAAAATATGTGGTAGGAAATCATAGTATATATGGCCAAAAAATAATCTAATAAGGTATGGCCAATAATAACTTTATCAGATTATCAAAATGTGCCATTTAACTTGTATCAAAGATCAGAGAAAACAAAAGCAAATAATGGCTAACAGGACATAGTTAACCTGAATTTGAAAATTTCCTTAAATGTAAGTACTTTTGTTAATGTAATGATACAAAATTCCACCACCAAAACATTAATTGTAATGAATACAAATAATCTTAATTATTTTAGCCAGAACATCAAACAAAAACAAATGTCCACATGTGCATATATACACACAGAGAAAAAGATGACAATAAGAAAGATGAGATGCCAACAAGATCTCAACTCATTCTGACTAGGCACAAATGTATTCTAATTGATGTTATTGAAGGACATGTTTAGATGAGCTATTTTGTGTCAAAAGGATAATGGCTATTCGTTCTCAACAATTTGAAATTATGTGGCTGTCTTAGTCAATGTTATTGCTATGAAAAGACACCATGACCACAGCAATTCTTTTAAAGGAAAGTATTTCATTGGGTCTGGCTTGCAGGCTTAGAGTTTTAGTCCATTGCCATCAGAGCAGGAAGCATGGTTGCATTCAGGGTGGCATGGTGCTGGCGAAGTAGCTAGGAGTTCTACAACCCAATCTGCTGGTAGCAGACACAGTGACAGTGGAACGGCCTTCAGCATTTGAAACCTCAAAGCCCACTCTCAGTGATACATTTAGTCCAACAAGTCCACACCTACTCCTAAAAGCCACACCTCCTAATAGTGTCAATGCCTATGAGCAAATGGGGGCTACTTTCATTCAGTCCACCACAATGACCTTCTAAGGTCATGTAGAAATGAATCAATAAAACTTTGTAACAAATCTCTCCTAATCTAGATTGTTTATTTATAGTTAACACTTCCTACACTTTCCTTAAATGTTATAATCAATACCTATTTTTTTTCATCTGAAAGCCTTTGTAGAAGAGTAAGCAGATTAATATGGCTCAAATTCTGAGGAATCTGGGAGGAAATAACCTCAGGTGAAAGCTGCAAATTGATCATCATCCAATTTTATGTTTTGAAAATTTCAGAATTTTAAAGTGTTGGCAATGGGGTTTTCAAGTAAGGATTGATTTGCTGAAAAATAGAATAATAGTTCATGCTACAGAAAAGCAAATGGGTTTCAAAATAATGATTAAATGTGAGAAAGTCTAAAGCAGAAGCTAAAAGTAAGCAATCAGGTCAATGTTAATGACCTTGCGATTATGGGCTAATAATTGAGATTTATGTAACTTTCTAAATAGTCACAATACACATACCTCCATTGTGTAAGGAGATAGTCACCTAATCTGTGGCCACTTGTTCTTTATTAATTTTGCATGTATATTTTTTGCATTTAGGAAGGTGACAAGCAGCTCATAAGAGAAACATCCACACATCAACTTAATTCTGAACGCTATGTTCACACATTCAAGGATTTATCTAACTTCTCAGGAACCATAAATGTCACCTATCGCTACCTAGCTGCGACACCTTTACAGAGAAAGCGTAAGTATCCCTAATCATTTTTTATAAAAATTGCTTTAAACACTGAAATTTGTGTAAAAATAATGATAATTTGTTATGTTTCTGTAGCACAAGATTAAGAGAGAGATTAGTGAGATCTATAGCTTAAGAAGGATTCAACATTCTTCAAACTTTGCAAATACTTTCTGACCCAGTAACTATTAACATGCCAAATTTTAATTAAAAGCATTTAGAAAATTGTTATAGGGCCATAAAAGAGATAAATAATTATCCATCGACTTTAAAATCAGACATTTAACTTGAAAATATTTCTATGTTATTTTATTTCCAATCTTTGATAGTTTAGTTTTATAATTTCTAAGTAATTTTGAATGTGATTTTGATAGTATACTATTTTATAAAGGGTTATCATAGATTATCATAAGCTAGGGGATTTTTTTATTGTCTCATGGTTATGGTTGCCAGAAGTTAAGGTTTAATTACTGTCACTCTCATAAACATTATGATTGTTCCAAAGATTTGTCATCTTAAAATTCAAGTTGAGGAGGATACAGTAAGACAACAAATTTTACTCAAGCCAATATGAAGATTTTCTTATTGGGAAAAAAATATAAGCATTCAAAATGTAGAGCTCCTTTAAGAGGCTTCTGTGTGGTCTGGTTTTTAAAAGAGTGGAATTAAAAGCACAAAGAATGAAATTTCATCCAGCATGTGGTTACCACTGCAGACTGACAGGAACACGACAGATTGTTAACTGGGTGTCAGTGACTTACGTTATACATTCCAGATAGGAATGGCAGAAGAGAGGAATGACATTTGCTAGGCTTGTTATGCATACCTATGGTATCAGAAAAAGGCCCGTATTAACTCCCTAAGCTTACACCTATGAAGATATTTATTTTCGCTCAATGGTTATTAAGAAATTTTATTGAGTCTTCATGATATGAAATTAGACTTTAGAAATACGATAATGCTTGTCAGAGGTAAACAGTATGCACTGGGGATATTTCTTACCCTAAAAATATCCAGTTCTTGCTTTTTTACTTAAATCTAAGAAAATTTTTTCCAATGGATATCAATGCAAAATATCTTTCAAAACAAATGAAACAGTAGATTCATAGCTTGGAACCATGTGTTTGGGGAGTGATACGATTATTTGTTTTCAATAAATCCTATGAAACTGTTTATTTTTTATAAGACATATCAGGCAAATTTCAAAATACAATTATGAAGTCTGCCTATTAATTCTTTTAGTAAAGATAGTGATGTGATATAGAAACTGAAATATATAGTCTCTGGAAATTTTATAGATGATTTAAATAAATGTCCAGTCTTTTTCATTCTCACTACTTGAGTCTACCTTGCAAGCCTTAGTTATAAAATTCCCTTTACTTTTGTAAATACTATTTACTATTTTTTACACTGTTCATTTGTTTTTGTCTTGTTTTGGTTTTTGAGTCAAGGTGAATACCAAACTATGCTCAAACTCAGGGCAGTCCTTCCGGCTCCATCATCCAATTGCTAAGACTACAGATGTGAAGTGCTGTGCCTGACTTGTTAGTAAATATGTTTGTATCTAAACTTCTGTCTCTCTTTTCTAATGGTAATGTATATGGATATTAAGACATAGAATATTTTAGAATACTTTCATTTTCATAATTCAAAAACAATATTGAGACGATCCATATTAGATTGATCAAGAGATATAATGTGTGTTTCACATAAAACATCAAATGTACATAAAACACGGTAGCCCTTGATAAACGAGTTTAATACTCTAATCTTAAAATGTTCAGTGCATAATCATTTACTAGATTTACTAACTATAATTGCAGGACTAAAGAATGTAAATCTTGGTTATTTGATTCCTATTGTTACGTTATTCGAAACCTATTAACATTTTATTTGTCTTCCTCTGTTTTATTTTGCTCAGGGTATCTCACAATTGGACTCTCATCAGTGAAACGGAAAAAAGGAAACTATTTACTTGAGACAATAAAATCAATTTTTGAACAGTCCAGCTATGAGGAATTAAAGGAAATTTCAGTAGTGGTGCATCTAGCAGACTTTAATTCATCCTGGCGTGATGTTATGGTCCAAGATATTATGCAGAAATTTGCCCATCACATTATTGCAGGAAGATTAATGGTTATACATGCTCCTGAAGAATATTATCCAGTTCTGGATGGTCTTAAAAGAAATTACAATGACCCAGAAGATAGAGTCAGATTTCGCTCCAAGCAAAATGTAGATTATGCATTTCTGCTTAATTTTTGTGCCAATACTTCAGACTACTATGTAATGCTTGAAGATGATGTTCGGTGTTCCAAAAATTTCTTAACTGCCATCAAGAAAGTCATTGCATCCTTAGAAGGAACGTACTGGGTAACTCTTGAATTCTCAAAGCTTGGCTACATTGGTAAACTCTATCATTCTCATGATCTCCCACGTCTGGCCCATTTTTTATTAATGTTTTATCAAGAAATGCCTTGTGACTGGCTATTGACTCATTTCCGAGGTCTGCTGGCTCAGAAAAACGTGATTCGGTTTAAACCTTCTCTCTTTCAGCACATGGGCTATTACTCATCCTATAAAGGAACTGAGAACAAGCTGAAGGATGATGACTTTGAAGAGGAGTCTTTTGACATCCCCGATAACCCTCCCGCAAGTCTCTACACCAACATGAACGTCTTTGAAAACTATGAAGCAAGCAAGGCTTATAGCAGTGTTGATGAGTACTTCTGGGGAAAGCCACCTTCACTAGGAGATACATTTGTCATTATATTTGAAAATCCAATTACAATTAAAAAAATTAAAGTAAATACGGGAACAGAAGACAGACAGAACGACATTTTGCACCATGGAGCTCTAGATGTTGGGGAAAAACTTACGTTAAGCAAACAAATAAGACAATGTGATACTTACTTAAGACTGGGGGACTTCAAAAACGGAAACTTTGAAATGTCAGATGTGAATCAAAAAATTCCGTTTGACATACACTGCATGAGGATATGCGTTACCAAAACACAAAAAGAATGGCTGATAATTCGGAGTATCAGCATTTGGACTTCCTAGCCAATTAAGTCAGTACACTGAGTTTCTGAAGCAGGTCTTCCTGTTTCAGGTTTTCCTATCTTCCTCTTTTGCTACGTTTGTCTTTTGGAAGGCAACCAATGGATGTGATGTGTCACAGAAAAAGCTGATCGTCTCAGCTGTTTTTATTGCAATTTTAGTCCACACACCCTGGTATTTTTATTTTCACTTTTGAGGTTGAATATCATTCTGTAGTTCAAGCTGCTGTCATTCATATATTTCAATGTTCATAGCTCCACGATTTCAACCAATAGTCAAAAAGAGTGATGTGAATGATTTAGAATGAGGAAATTCTTTTGTTGGATGATAATTAAAACACAGTTGCCAACTGTACACATTTATTCATGAATTGATAATTGATATGATCAGATAGCTTCTCATTAAAGAATCTCTGAGAATATGCAGTTGGTTGCAATCATAAACTGGGATATTTTTCTTGGAAATTTAGGCTCTCACTGACTGCTGTATTTCCACAATTAATACCTCCTCAGAGATGTGGTGTCTTTACAACAGACTATTTTTGTGTAAGTAGGACTGTGGAAAAGCAGAGGTAAAACTCATCCTTTCTCTGGTCATTTCTAAGAAAATGAACACTGCTCATTGTTTTAAAATATTTAATTGGGCACTTTTTAATACATTTTCTGTGGGAAGAAGTACATTCCTAACTTCCCATTGGAAAAATAAAAGAAGTCAAGCTCAGTATTTTAAGGTTACATTGGATACCTGTAATTAACAGACAAAGAGAGATGGCCTATAGCTAATCCATTTGTCCAAACAGTTTCAGTATATGCAGAAAAACTGAAATTGATTTTATATTTTTTGTATTAAAATTCATGTGATTGAAATTGTTGTAATTTATCATATTTTGGGAAGATTAAATGGCTGTCTTATACGGGAGAAAGGTAAAATCTGCAGAAACTAGTTTTGTTTTGTTTTCCTGTAGCCAATGGGCTAATCCTTCAAATAACAAATGAAGGAATTCTTTTGTTTGTTTGTTCTGATTAATAGACAACACTCTATACTATCTGTGAAGATCTCTCCTACCAGAACTTAGGGTTTCTGTTTCCTTCCTTCCTTTTTTCCTTCCTTCCTTCCTTCCTTCCTTCCTTCCTTCCTTCCTTCCTTCCTTCCTTTCTTCCTTTTCTTTCTTCTTTCATGTATGTATGCATTTATTTATTTAACATTTATTTGTTTGTTCCTATGTGTCAATAAATGCCACATCTGTGCAGTGTCTGCAGAAGCCAAAAGAGGGTTTTAGATACCATTAAACTCAAATTACAGGTCATTGTGAGATATCTTATGTGGATGCTGGGAGCCAAACCAGTGTCCTTTGTAAGAGCAGCAAGTGCTCTTAACCACCAAACCACCATTCAATTTGCATCTGTCCCATGTCTTATTTAGGTTTCAGGTAATTTGCTAGACTACCTTGAATTAGATAACAAAACTGCTCCACAAAGCATATTACCATGCTGTATGTATGATGATTGTAAACTGTTTTAATTGATGATTTTGTGCTACCTGCATATAAATAGTAATCAAATTTTGTTGAGGGTTGTTCAGTTGTCTCCATCCTTCCATAAAAGAAATTCAAGACACCACAATGTGTTCAAACACTTTAGTGTTTCAGAATGTACTCAGTGGTCACCCTATTCACACTTTGAGAAGTAACCAAATGGAGTGGTTTATAATGAGAAATATAGGATATTTCATATGTATGTGCTCATGGGGAAAATCAAATACAGGTTAATATGTATATATATATGATGATACTCTCACACACATACATACGTGTGTGTGTCTCTGTGTGTATGTGTATATAATGTGTGTGTCTGTGTATGTGTTGTGTAAAAATATATTTATGATACTAAAAAAACAGAAAAAAGAAAAAAAGGACAAGTGTGTCTGCTATTCTTTCTATTCTAAAATACAAATCTAACACTTATATAGTTCAAAAGAGATTAGGTTGTTTTTATTTTATTTGCTCTGTTAAGAATAATTAAATGAGAAAATCAGACTGAGTCAGAAGTTTTGTAGTTTTCTTGATAAATCCAGTATTGCACACCTTCTTGCCCACATTTCTTACAGTGTTAGAGGAGATGCTAGCCTTTTTTGAACATGCGAATACTAGTTATTTGTGGCATATTTAAAATTTAAACTTGTAAGAAAATATAAACACTGCCATAAAACATCTGAAATTTTTATTAAATACTAATTGCCATACACTTAAAAATATTGTTTTTCTGATTTTTTTAAAAAATTGATTGGCTATATAGTGTTTCACATGGACCTCAGAACTCACAGTATCATTTTTCTGCATTTCTGGTGATTTAGAGTACACAGTTGTATTCCAATTTCATGAAACATTAAAATCAGAAACGATTATTTGCTGTGAACTAGACGCTTGTACACATTGACCAGCAAGTGTGATTCCAAAAGCCATCTATGGTTCTATATAACTTTCTGAAAAAATGCTTTAGTAAAAATTGATGAGAGTAAGAGGTTGGGCTTGGCGGCCTGCTGGGGAATTACAAATGTGACTATGACCAAAAGAAATCATATTTTATCTTAAGTTCCTTTCATTAATGTAACCATCATTGGATAAGCTACAATCACCCAGGAAGGTTTGTATGTTTTCTTTATAACTTGTGCCTGGGTTAACCTACCTTCTTTCTTGCTTTTATTCTATTGATTTATATTGATTATTGTTATTTAATGTGTATCGTGTTTTGTCTGCATGAATGTCTGCTGTGTACTGCGTGTGTGCAAAGTGTCTGTGGAGTTCAAGAAAAGGAACCAGATCCTCTGGAACTACAGTTACAGATGTCTTTGAGTGACCATGTGTGTGCTGGTCATTAAACATAACACCTATAAGAGCATCCAGTGCTCTTAACCACTGAGCCATCTCTTCAGGCTACCGCTTTCTTTCGTTCATGTCCATTTAATTTTTAAATTTCTTTCAACATACAAAGTAGTAGTTTTCATTGTCGCACTTTTCAAATATATTAAGTTGTTTTTCCCTCCCCGTGTGGCATTTATACACAATGGAATTTCATTCAACTAGAGAAAAAAATAGGCAATTGTGAAATTTGCAGGTCAAGGGATGGTTCTGAAAAATAATACTTGGTGAAGTGACTCAGACAAGAGTCACATTTTCTCTCTTATATGCATATGAAAATTTATAATGTTCTCATAAGAGGGTGTGAAGCCTGCTAGACTACCACAAGAAATGACCAACAGGTCAACAGTGTTAATTTTCTAAGTAAAACAATAGCCTTGACAAAGAAAGCTTCTGCAAGGAGAAAAAGGAGGAACAGAGAACCACACATTCGTTCTCATTCTCTCATTTAACTTCATTTGATTTTTTTTTTTTTTAGTGTTTAAAACTCATTTAAACCTTTTATTTGATTTTCATTGTTTGAGAGTTTCATCATGCATATTACATACTTTATCAACTTCAACCCCTCACTTTCTCCTCTCCAATTCTTGCCCTATCAACTGACATTTTTCCCTCTGAACTTTGTGTGCTCTTTTATTAAACACACTGAGTCCACTTTCCACTGCCTGAATTTGTGTGTTGTAGGACAATACACTTTCTACAGCCAGATTCCTAAAGAAAACTCCTCTCTCTCTTCCCCATCAGACATCAGTTACCAATAACTCTTCTTCTAGGGATAGAGCCTCATGAGTCCCTGCCCCACTCCCGCTGGGATTTTGAATGGTCTGATCTAGTGGAGGTCTTACACAGGCAGTCAGAGTCGCTGTGAGTCCACACATTTAATGGCCCTTTCAAGTCCAGTAAATACTTGCACTGCAGAGGTCTACTACTTCTGACTCTTGTAATCTTTGCCTCTTCTTGCATAATTGTCCCTGAACCTTGAGGGAACAGGATAGGATAGGGATGTCCCATTAAATCCTCAGCACTCCCCAATTTCTTTCTCTCTGCATCTTGGTGAGCTGTGTGCATATATTAATCAAACTGTATTGTAAAATGAAGCTCCTCTAACTAGAGTCATGAGATACATTGTTCCACTTGCACAAAAATAAGAATTTAGAGGTCCCTTTATCATTTTGTCCATTTAACAGTATAATAGTAATTTCTTTCCTAGGTCCTATGAGTAAACCAGCTACATAGGTTTTGGTGGAGTTGACTGGATCAGGTCTGAATTCAGTCTTGTGGAGTGGATTTTAATTCAGTCATAAACTGACATTCATGCCACTATCCCTCTGGCGATCATATCTTATCTGTTTGGTTGCTATTGTAGCTCACAGTTTTCACATGTGGGTAAGATTGATGATTCATTTTCTATCTGGGTAGTAGGCATAGAAATCTTGTAGAACTATGAAAACTAGCCAATACAAAGAAGGCTTTCAGATCAGTAGCATCTCAGATTCCCAATGCCCTATAGCAAAAGTATGTGATGTCTTCAGAAACAAAATTCTGGAGGGTACTAAGGAGCCTGTAATGTTTGGGATGTCTATAAGATACCACTTAGCAACAATTTGAAAAGGGCAACCCATCTCTAATTGAGTTTTTGTTTGATAATCTATGATGTCTGGGAGAGACACTTTATCCCTATTATAGGACAACTTCATTTAAACTAATTTTGTAACCATATATCTATTTTTGGGAAGCTTTTACAGTAGCAGGTTGTCATGTGGTGTTTTTAAAATCTTCCATGATAAACTCTGACTTCTCATCTTCCTCCATGTTTTAATCCCTGTTCCGTTATTTCCTTTATCCCTTTATACTGCCTAAATTCCATTATTCCATTCCCCTTCCTTTGAAATCTCATGTACCTACTTACTAGTTTCTAGCTCTAATTTAATCTTAAATATAAATATATGTTTATTTATATTTAAAATATCCAACTATGAGAGACAATATGTGGTGTCTGTCTTTCTGGTCTGGATTACTACACTCAGAATACTTATTTCCAGCCTCATACATTTATGTGAAATTTTCAGTTTTTTAATAGCAGAATAATATTCAGTTGAATAGATATATAGCAGGTTTTCATCATTCATTCATCAGTTGGTGAACATCTGGATATTTTCCATTTACTGGATATTGTGAATAAAGCAACAATTAACATTGATGTGCAAGTTTCTCCAAAACAGAATGTACAGTCATTTCTACTCTTTTGAAATGAAAAATCTCATAAAAACTTTCCTATGCAACTAAATAAATATTGTATTACAAAATGCTGAATAAGGTCTAAACAATATGATCAGGTATGCATAGATCCAAAAATAGTTATTAGAATTATCAATATTCAATCTGTTAAGCTTTATGGGACCATTTTTCTTCACATTGATATGCGTGTGCATGTGTGTATGATGTGTGTATATTTAGTTTATATGCACACATACATACACAGATTATTGTCTTTGCTAAAAAAGCCATTGAAAATAATCACAATGTGAAAGGAATAGTTTGATTTTTAATTGTCATGAAAACAAGATGCCAATAGGTTTCAAGCACAAATTTGAATATGCCTTTAGGTTTTTATAGAAATTTCACAGTATACAAATGTTTACTTAGTGCTGTGGCTGGGTCCTGAAAACCTGACTGGGGTGACCAGGAAATGAAGGAAGAACAATTTTACAGACACATATACAGAAAATCTAGGATCCAGTGGGTCAAGTCTTCTGGTGAAAATACACCAACAGCACAGGAACTCAGACCACTTATTTTATTCATCTGAATCAAGGAGGTAGATTTATAACATAGCTGAAAGAGGAAGAGATATGTTAGCAAATCTTTGTAGGGGATGTCTGCAAGAGCAAATTTAGGTTGTAGCTATCTAGAGAAAGGCTGTGGTTGATAGATTCTGTACACATTGATATTACCTAAAGGTTAATCTTCTTAACATCTGTTCCTGGATGAAAGGTAAGCTTTGCCACTCCTCTGAGCCTCAGGGAAAGCTTGGCCATTTCCATGGGTCGGAGGCATTGCCATCCTCGACATGGACACGACCATAATCATGTTAACAATATACATTCATTCAGAACTTCATCTACTCCCCATGACTTACCACTAAAGATCTTTAAGTAAACTCTTCTAATTTTGTAAAAATAAAAGCATGCAATAGATCACAGGAAAATGTTGAAATAGAGTTTTGGGAAAAAAAATACACACTTTAGCAGCAATGACGATGTTGAGTATAAAAATATCCATAATAAGTGTTAATAAAAACACATTATCATTGCAAAACATACTTTTTTACAAATTATAAAATAGGTACTGGCCAGGTATGAAAAAATAATTTCAAAACCAGTATGTCATTTAGATCTATTTTCCTTCATACGGTTATAGTTATGAGACTTGTACACTCCATTTTTTGGACCAATGTCAGATCATATTATGCTAGTATAGAAAAACTGTACCATATAGTACATAAATAAAGCAAGATTTTATGACTTACCTAGTATGAAAAACATCTACTTTTCTAGATAAACCCATTCATTCAAAATCTGTCATTTAGGAAATACTTGCTTTCTTTAAAGCATGATTTCAAGGAGTAACAAATTGTTCCTAGCCCCTTCTAACAAATAAAACTGTAATTTCCTATTTTTTTACTATTATTTCTTTTAATTTAACAGTTATTATATTTATTTTAATGCAATTGAATAATGGCCAACACCTCAATTTTATAATTATGTTATTTATTGGTTAATGTTTTACAACTCTATGTATTTTCAATCAAATTTGCAGTTTTTAAGGCAATATTAAGTTCAGGAGTCCTCTGACACATGCTTCTATTGCAGATCTTAACTTTGTGTTTTATCACAGCCTCCCCGTATTTGTGGACCTACTTTTCTCTTTCTAAGAGAAGATATAGACACTGCAAAAGTTTCATGCTTATGTGAGTTTGTAACCGAATCCGTCAGTTACTAGCCACCACACACGAAGAAGACTATGTAACCTTGTTGAAATTCAGTTCTTATTTCTGCTGAACTAGAAAATTGTACCTTGTGGGATTTTTTTAAGTAGCAATTTTTGCTTTATAGTTCCCAACAGAACTAGAAATAATGCTGTAAACTAAACACAGTATAAATATTTTCTTTTTCCTCTTGATATGTATATAATAGATTTGACTCTAACAGATACTACCAGAAGCTTTCATTTTAATCGATAAAAAATAAAATATAACAATAACTGATTATCCATTAAGTGTCACCACCCTAACTTTTGATATTTTGTCCAAAAGAGTGTCATGTAAAATCATGTATACAACTTCCTAAAATCAAAGTATATTCTATTCTGGTCATTCTGACCTGTTAGTTTAAAACCCCTGCCAAAACATTACAGTTATCCCTAATTCTCCTTTACACATATTAATTATCATCTCTTTTATTAGGCATCCTAAATACGCATTTTTGAAATTAAAGGAAAATAATATTTTCTAATTTATAAAATTTGGTCGAGAATCCACATAATTTTCAGAATCACCTTAATTTAAGAAACAATTTTGACTCTTTGCTATCTGGTATATTTTCTAATGCTGCTCACATTATAAATGCCCTGGCTAATGGAGTATAGCCAGCGTTGAGTAGAAATTAGAAGAGCAGATCCCATTCTCTACATGAGTTTTGGTGTTTAGGTTCCTATTTCTAGAAGGCTTTCCTTTGTTTGGTATGGGATTGCTAGAACACAAAAATGGACAAACCAAAACACACCTTGGTACTTCATCTTTATTGCTGGCTTTTAATTTTTTTTGTCTGTTCCTAGATTGCACGTCTTTGGTTGATATTCACTTTGTTTTGAAACAGGGTCTCAGACATCCCAGACTGATTTTCTGCTTCTTATAAAGCTGATGATGACCTCAAAGTTTTGAGCCTCCTGCCTCCATCTCCAAAATGCTGGTATCACAGACATTTACCAACTTCCCCCACTAAGATTATGTATCCTTTAATGTCATTTTATAAAATTCTTATTTTTTGAGAATTTCATACATGTATACTATGAAATAAGATCACATGTCCTTCCTATTTCCACCTTCCACCTCAGACCTGACATGCCCTCTTCCAAATTCATCTCTCTCCCTTTCTCTGTGAGTGTGCATGTCTCTCTCTGTTTATCATACACTGAGTCTTGTTAGTAATGCTCAGGTGAGCATGAGTTGGTGGCCAGCTGGTGAAGTCCCTAGGAGTGGACAATACTCAACAAATAATGATTCTCTCTCCTCCAGCAACTACCCTAATGCCAAAGTTCTTCAATATATGGGCAGTCCATGAGAAAGTCTAACCCCTCTACAGCTAGATTTCAGCTGGCTTGATTTTGTGTAGGTCTTGTATTGATAAACATAGCATGGTGATTCATGATTGCAATAATACTCTTGTCAGCATTCCATAACATCCTCTCCATGATCTAGCTGTTACATCCTTTTTGCCTCTTATCCCACAATGCCCGCTGAGCCTTGAGATAGGATCAGAGACTTAAACTTCAATTATTTCATAGGGTCAACCCTTTCTTCTTGGACTTTATTTTCTTTGAACACTATCATTGCGTTTTGTCTGCTTTCTCCACTTGTTAGATATATTATTTCCGATATATTTGACACACCACATTTGTTTAAAAACTAGCAACATATTGTATCTTCTTTTGTTATCTTTATATCCTTCAAAAGCTTTGTTTTTTATTAGTGTTATTAGAGTATCCTATATCTCACAAAAGAGCATGAGATTACCATAATGTAATGATTATATTTATTTTAATTTATGTTCCTTAACATTTGAAGGTGAAGCTATGAATTGCACGATATTCAGGTGTTGTTTTTTTAAAATATAAATGTAGTAAAATAAAAAGTCACATTGTCCCTCCTTCACTAATAATTTTTTAGTGGTCACTATAACTTGATAATGGGCCTCACTTCAGTAAACTTGAAACCCTCTGAAATTTTTTAACATTTGATGTTTAACATTGATGTTTAAATGTAAATTTCAGACTGTGTTCTAAGATAATTAAATTAGAATATCTTCTGAAAAACATGCATAACTAAAATCAAAATGGCTTATTTTAGTACATCAGTTTCTCATTTTACTTTCTAGATACTTATTTCAAAGAGTCACAACAAAGCTAAGTTCATTACAAAAGTAAAGGATGATTAAATCAGGCTTGAGAGATAATTACAATCACATTAAGAAGACAGAATATCCAAGTTATCACTGGATTTTGGATTAAATGATGTACACTAAACTAAGTGGCCATGTCTTCAAAATATACAAGATGAAGGTACAATGGTGATATCATAAGTATTTTTACTGAGTGAAATATTCATTGAGTGTACACTCATTAAATGTAATGACCACTTTATTTAGTGATATCTGTGTGTAAAAATTACGGTGAAGAAGCGGAATTTAGACACTTACTCTATAAAACAACATACTGAGTGTTATTTCTGCTTTATTAGCAACAGTCAACCTGTATATGTATCTGTATACATCTATATATACAGGTACACATACACATATACATGCAGTAATTCTACCCCAATAGAGTTAACTATAATCCAAATGTGGAAATGTCATCTGGTAAGTGAAGCAAAAAAGTGTGAACCCTTGGAGGAGATTAGAAAATTATTTAAAATGTTTATCACATCCATCTCCATCATTCACATTTAAGTTATTAATATACCTCAAAAATTAAATACAGATATGTATTAATCTTGTTTAAAAATAAACAAACTTTTATGTTCTATGATAAACCATCTAGTTAAAAACATCCCCCTGTAACTTCATTCAAGCCCATGCTCTGAATGTGGCATGACATACTATTTTCAACAATATATCCCTAATGTTTAAAATCATTATTTATTTACCTTACTTATAAATCTAACATGTTTCCAAATCATTAAAATAATTTTCTCAGCTCCTTAATATCACCCATCCTTTAGTCTAGTCTTGTCTGCAAGTCACATCCATCATCTTACATTTGAACTCTACTGTGCACTATAATACCACGTCAACTGCAAGTAAGAGATAACAAAGATTATTCACTGTTATGAAATAAATTAAAAAGTGCAACTTAAATTTTCACAAGAATGTGGGTAGGTATCATATCATATAACTGTGAAGAGGTATCATATCATTAAAT